CCTCTGGTAAGTCTCCTTTTCATTTATTTGTTTCAAGCAAACACAGAAAGGTGAAATGATCTGAAATGCAAACAATTACTCATTGTATAGACCGCTCACAGATGAAATCCCTTTTCAATATTTACACAATGTTTTTCTTGCACAATTGTTGAATCTGATAGGTTGGTAGAAAAATATGAGTATTCATTTACCTTCCACTTTCGCTGACACTGCACTGCTCGCTAAAATGCAATTGCTCGCTAATTTCTGCTCTGCTTAATGTTTAATAAACGTCCTGAAGACAAAAGGCATTTTTGTATTTTACTCCTGTTTAAATTTAGCAGTTTTATGTCCACGTTGGTCAACAAGCATAAATACATATTTAAAAAGCAAATCCGCGCACACAGCTTAGTCTTCCCGTTCGTTTGCTTAGGAGGCGGCTGTAGGATGCAGGAGGCCACGGAGCAGAGGAGACGGATTGATGAGAAGCGGTTTGGGGTAACAGAGAAGGTGATTAAAAGCTCAGGCTGCAGATGTTTCTGGAACACTTCAAAGTGTAACACCTGCCAGCGCCAGTGCTGAGCGTGATGCATTATTGAGATGGTGCCCACCTGGCACCTGGCTCTGACATCACACGCCCTGTCCACCTGGCTCGGCGGCATGCACAGGAGTGGCATTTTGGGTCACACTTTACAGGAAGCTGGCTCTCGGCGCGATGAAGGGCATCTGGGGGATAGGGCGCACATTCCTAGGGCAGACCTCAAAGGCACTAAACTGGGGCATGTAAACTTGGTGTCACGCAAGAAAGTGAAGAGTGTGGGTTGGGGGGAAAGCTTTGCTAGATGGGAACATGTTCTTGCTTGCGTGCATTATTTATAAAACAAATGGAGTTTTAATTTTTTATTTGCGTTGTGTTTGCTTGTTTCAGTTAAATATAGACAGAATATATATTTATATATAGGGGAAGAATCATGAAGATTAAGACTAATGAGTGCACAAAGCAAAACGGGAAAGTTTTGAATTGTATCTCGTTTATTTAAACTCTGAAATCTTCAAAATTATGCAGAAAATATTTCTGTATATTATATATTCTATTGTTTCGTCTTTTTAACCTAGCATCAAAAACATTAGGACTTTAAAAAATCTTTATGCGTCATATTTTATGCATGAAGAGGTCAGCAAATAGTTATTTACATGATGTACAAACAGGATGCAATGTAAAATATGACAAAGAAAAACAGAAAAGAAAACAAAATATGGGCTAAACCTGGGAAACAAAGAGATGTGTAAGAACAAAGGAAAAGCTAAGGACTGAGGAAAATAATAAAAGAAGAATTAAAAAGAATAATTTATGTCGAACAATTGCCATAAATGCTAATTAACCACAGCAAAAAACAAAAAACAACAAAAAATTACCAGTAAGTGTAAATGGTAAAATAATCCAAAATCTGTACTAATTCTAACTGAAAATGCAATAAAACTACAAATAAAATGATATCAAAGTTAAATTAGGAATTGATCATGTTATTTACCAAAAATTTATGAAAGGCAAGCAAAATAGATAAATTCTTTGTTTGCTTTTTTAAAATGTCAATGGCCCTCAAGGTCTTCAGGAAGCTTTTCCACATGCAAGAGCCAAGATAGGAAAAGTTTGTCTTTTTGTGATTCTTTCTTCTTTATTTGAACATTATACAAAGACTTTACAAGAGACCGATCCAGATCTGACCTGGATAGCTTGTACAACAAACGTAAATCTGATAAGTATGTGGAACGCGGATCAAGGAAGATTTTGAAAGTCATTTGAGGCACTCTTCAAATGACTTTTAAAAGTCAATTCAGTTCTAAAATGAACAGACTTCAAAAGTAGAGCAAACTCTCGTATGCTCTTTGTCAGTATTTGACTTTTGCAGTACGGTACTTTCTTTTTAGGAAAAGGAGAAAAAGAAAGTGTTGGTGTTAAAATGTTCTGCATGTGTAAAAAGTGCATGTTAAAGTCTCTCCACTGGGCTGAGAAAGAAACAGTCAAACCTTATAGGAATGTGTTGCAGTTGATAAAATATACGCTTAGCAATGTTTTTTAATGTGAGATCAGAAAGTCGGAATAAACTGCAACACTTACGATCAAATGCAACACAGAGATTTCTAATTTGATCTGAAAAGTTGATTCTGTGAGTTTTATTTTTTTACTGTCGTTTTATTTTTCTGAAGGTCATTTCACATTATTAAAACTTTTAAATCAACTGAATGAAAACAATGCCCAAACTCCAGGGATATTTTTATTAAGTTTTTCTTAAAGATCTGATTTTTTTTTTTACACACTTTTAATTTGACGCAGATATTTTATTTAATCTGGCACATGTCTGATTCTTAAAGTATTGACATCCTCTCTCCTTTTTTTTTTAGCAAAATATGCACTTTTTCTTGTTAAAGGTGCAGTATGTAACTTTTATAAAGAATATATATATATATATTTTTTAAATATTTGTTAAAACTAACAGAATACTAAGAGACAGGTAATCTGTGAAAAGATTGATCTCCTCCACCTCCTCCGTGAGCTACTACTGCTGTCTGAAGAAACCAAAAACAACAGACCAGAACCAGGAGGAAGGTCTTAGCGCTGTCGATCGATGTTGCTCAATGTGCTAATGGTGGAGAAACAACGTACTGCTACAGAAAAACTGTTTATCCGCCGTCATTGGCGTTCATGCTAGCTTGTCTGAACATTTTTTTCACAGATTATCTGTCTCATACCGTACAGCCTCAACATAGCAAGTATGTGAAAGTATATTTTTCGTAAAAAGTATATTTTTCATCAAAGTTGCATACTGCAGCTTTAAGTACAAGAACATAAGTTTAAAAGCAGCACAATTCTAAAGAGAAATGCAAACACAAAACCACTGATCAAGATCAAAGCTTAAAAAAGACTGACTCCGATATGAAAGAATACACAGACACGCACATACACGTTTGTATATATATGTGTATCTTACTCTTTTGTTTCTACATATTTCTCTGTTTAATATTTCAGCAGCCCCCTTCAATGCGAATATTTTAGAGGTCACTTAGTGTGCTCGTGTGTGCGTGCGTGTTTCTCCTGCACGTGTCCCCCTGACACCTGTACTCTCTCAGGGTGTGAGGAACAGACAGAGGCCAGAGCTGCAGTCACAGGTCTCAGACCAGTGGGGTGTGAAATGAATCGCAGAGCCAACATACTCTGCCCCTGCTGCACACACTTGAAATCACCGCAAGGCCATGTTTGTGGGCCCTGCGAGAGTGAGGGGAATAAAGGGTAGCACAGAGGAAGGACACAGGAAAGAGGAGGGATGAGAAACTGTCATGCACTGTGGTTTTCCAGCAGCATTAAAACCACCTTCAGTAAATGGAGCTTGTGTAAATATTCATGAAGGCTCGAACACTTTCTTGGGCACGGTGCTGTTTGGAGTAATTGTCGTTTTGTTTCAGGGATGCACTTTGGTTCAAGACCTTAAGAGCCACATAGCTGAAGAACACTGCCCACAGCAAACGCAGCCCTAAGAGCTGCAGGCTCGCTGTGCTTCAGTTACTGTTGGCATTATTTATTCATCCAGACATTTTCACCTCCAAACATTTGTCTAAATCACCTCCCACGCTAAAGTATTTAATTATGCATATTCATCATCAACTTTAAATGATCCCTAACATTAATTCCTAACATATTTGCTCCAACCCAAATTAACATTGCACTAGGATGCTTAAAACTAATGGGTGAGAAATGCGACAATCAGTTTAACAATGTTTTTAATTTGAGCATGGAAAAACGCCTCATTTTGTAGCCTTCTTAAAGTCCTGGATTAACTACCTTAAAATGCAGATGTGACGTGAACTGTAGAAACTTAATGTGAAAAGAATAATGATAAACGTTTTCTATCCAGCAAACAGAAGTGGCTGAACACCACATCAGCACCGAGTCAAGAGGACTTTGGGGAAGAACAACAAAGAGAATGCAGAGTAAATGGCAGCAAGAGCTCCATTAAAGGGTTTGACAAAGGAAATACTTTTAAAGATAGAAGTAGTAGTCAAATAAAAGCAAAAAGAGAATACAAAAAATAATGGTGGGAATGCATTAATGAGTGGCTCAATTCTGGAATGAGATACATTTAAACAGTGCAGCTCTGGGACAGGTGTACTTTTTATAGAAAAACAAAAGAAATACAGAAAGTCAACAGTAGACAAAGCTGTATCAATGGCTGTTCTGAAACAACCCAGCTATCAGGATTCACTTCTCCTAAACAGCATGTTAGTGTCAGGTTATTGAGTCGCGTCTAAATGATAATAATAATAAAAAAAGAGATAACTGTTTGGAACTTAAAAATATTATGAAATGTTTTCTATGATAATTTCGATAAAATTAAAACCTGTTTTTGTTTTTGTCGCGTTCACGTGCCTTGTGTTTTAGATGAGTCCCTTCTTGCTAGCATGCTATCAAGTTCCACAAAGTTTGAACCAACAAGAGCTAATGGTCTCTGGACAACGCTTTTATAGAGGTATTATCGGATGTATATTGACATTAATTACATTAAACTTTAACAATCACAAGTTGTGGCTGTCATGTGAAAAGAAACAACAGTTCTGAGGCAGAGGAACTGCTCAGCGGAGACGGTTTCTCCTCTTCGATTGGCTGAAGCCACTGCTGATCATTCACGGCCGCTCGGCAGCACCTCCCACAGACGCACAGCGGCAGCGCTGCTTTTCTTTTTTCTTTTTTTCTTTTTTTTAAACCCCCACAATGATATTCAAGGCACTTGCGACTCGCCTGCGACTGTAGAGAGGGGGGAAAGCACCCAGAAAAAAAGAGAGAACCTCACCTCCTCAAACAACGAGTGAGGTAGGGACCAGGAGGCAGAAGAAGCGAGAGCAAGAGAAGAGAAGAGGCTGTGGAGTTAAAAAAGAGAGGCAGCGGCGGCGGCGGCGGCGGCTCCAGAGCTCCAGCGAGGAGTGTCTAATTGCGTGCGCTTTATTAGAAAGTGTCTAATTTGAAGAGATTCGACATGTCATCGTCCGGGAAAGACAACAGCGGTGCCCAGCACGCCAATTACGTGGGACCTTATCGTTTGGAGAAGACGCTCGGGAAAGGACAGACAGGTTAGTTGGGACAGCTTGCTGTCCGCACTCCCCCGCCCCCCTTTCAGTCCCCCTCTTTAATTGCACAATTTGTTTTCAACCCGCTCCGCAGGCGAGTTGAAATTTGGTGTGCGCAGGTGAGAGGTAACTAAATGCTTTAGTTACGAAACACCTGCCCAGTCCTCGTGTGACACTGGTGCGTTTTGTCATTTTGTCAGCAGTGGTCTGACATAATAATTGTTCACATAGTAGGATGAGGAAGAATTTGTGTCTGGTGTCGCTTTACATGGGTTTTCCTCGTTTGTGCGTTGGCGTTGGATCGAATCTGCGTGTGGAACAGCGTCAAACAACAGACATGATGACAGTGCGAAGGGCAGTGACAATCAACTTTTTTTTTTTTTTGTAATGTGTGTGTGTTTTTTATCTGGGACGGCTCCCCCTGCTTGTTTGCGCACCCTTTGAGTGTTCTGTGATTGGAGCACAACGCGGTTAATCCCGATTTGCCTGATACATTGATCTATTCTTAGTCCGCAGGCACACACGGAGAGCGAGAAAGAGAGACAGGCGTTTCTCCTACAGGCAGCGACTGCAATTCGGAGCAGAACATCCCACCTTGACACAACACGAACCACACCAATCTATATTCATGCGTCCCTCATGGGGATGTAAGTGTGGGCTTCCCGAATGAGAAGCGCGTGCTTTCTGTTAGATCTGGACAGCAGTGACGGTGCATTTTTCTGAAGTTGCATATAGCACATGTGCTGTGCAGTCAGAGGATGATGCCCTGGGAACAGGAGCCGGTGATGTTTCATGCTCTCCTGAGGAGATGCTTGAGTGTTTCAGTGCAGCCCCGGCGCTTGCGACTGGACAGCAAGAACGCCGTGGGCTCAAATAGCAGAGCCATGTGAAAGGAGAGGCAGGTACAGCCCTGCCTGCCTGTGTGTGTGTAGGCAGAAAATAGCAGGACTGATTGCAGCTCCCTCTCTCAAAGCTCTCCAGCCTTTAAAATGAGGGGAGAGAGTTGGACTTTTCCTCTCCTCTGCGCGTCTATCTATGGGTAGATTTTCCTCCCATCTGTTGTCTAAAATGGCTACAATAGGCGTTACTTTCTCCAGCTCAGTCCAGCTGGTCACGCTGAGTTGCCATGTGTGTAAATGTTTTTTTTTTTTTTTTGTGCACTCCTAAACAGTATGCTTTCTTCCAAATATTCTCCTGGTCTCTTAATTCACCTGGCCACCAACTTGCTGTTTAGCAGTGGTTCTCATCTACACTGTATGCATTTGCTGTTATAAATATTGCCATAGACATGCTGTTTTTTTTCCCCAACATGACAATAAAATCACTGTATTTTAATAGCCTTCACCATATCTCAGCTCAGTAGAGCAAGTTTGATATGCAGTGGAATCAGACATGCAGCATTAATCAAAATCTTTAGAGAATATTCCTTATGCCTTGTTGAACCAATGCCATCAAAAATGAGCTAATTTTAAATGCAAAGGAGGACTGAGCTAATATAACATTTAGTTTAATTTTTTTATGTTTTGTTCTGCTTGTTTGCATTAACATCAAGGTAATAGTAAAAAATTTATAGGCAGTAGAAATAGTAGTTTCTGTTTTATTTAAAAAAATACAATTATTTTAGCTCTGATTATACTTTTTCAAATAAAAAAAAGTCAATAAAGCAAAAACGCTGGTTATATGTTTCAGGCTGTATCGAAGTTGCTTTTTGTTTTTTGTTTCCATAAATGCAACCCCCTCAATTTTATTTTGCTTGCAGGAGGAGCTTTTCCTCAGACTCGTCTTGCTTTCTCATTGCCCACTGCAGCCTCCCTAATGGGTGTTTGTGCTAGTATCGAGCTGGTATCTTCTGCTTGGTACAGACGTTTAATTATGTGGTGTCACTGAGATCATCGTTTCTGTTCACGGGAGAGCCGGGGCCAACTCTGATGGATTTTTCATGCTCACTTCAGATGTCGGTTCCATGTGGGTGGAAGAATGCAAGCTACAGGTCAGCTAGACATGTTTGACTTCAACATGTTAAGAGTTTCAGGGACACACGGTAAAATTCACTTTCACGAGCTTTTTGGTAACATTTTTCCATTTCTCCTTTGAACCAACTGAAAACACAGCATTATCTAAGTCTGCTTGTACTATGTTGGGAGGAAAAATGATTTGGCCAATGGCATCTGAATCTTTCTTCTTTGTTTCTGCTGTGGTTTTTACCCATGCCAAATCTATTCAGATTAATGACGGTGTGGAACATCCATTTGCCTGTTAACCATTTGTTAATCTGTCAGATCTTTTTCCCAGGCCTCCGTGAAAAGGGTTGGCCTGGCAACTAATAGTGCCCAATGGGCCTGGCTCGATTGTGACTGGCAGCAGGGACTGTCCAGTGAGCTAAATCCCCTTGGGAGGGTTCCCAGGCCAGGGTTGGCTTGCGTTGACACAGGAGGGAAAGCGGAAGACGTCTTCTTGATCTGGCTCTTCAACTCAGGAGTTGTGCAGGTCCTTTTTTCATTAAGTGATTAGAGCATGTCCTGAGTCACACACACTGCCACCATGGCGGTTCTGATTTGGATCCTGATCTAATCCCCCTACACAGCTAAAATCCGCACAGCGCTCTCTCTCACAACGTTCACGTGGCACAAAGGTTGCATAGGCTGTCCTCTCCTAGCTTAGCACATTAGCAGTTCTTTGTCACTGCATACAACAGCGGATATTTACTACTGTTTCATTACTAATAAATGGATGGTATGAATTCCAGGATCTTCTCCCAAATGCTTGTCCTGCTGGTTTGAGCAAGTATTTTTTTTCTAAAGGGGAGACCACCATTACCCTTTAGTTTTCTGCAGAGTGTTTGTATGACTCCCCCTTTGTCAGGTGTGCATTCAGCCCTGAAAAGGTCTGCAGATATGGAGTGTCTGCCTGGCTGCCTGCTGATTGGCGCTTAAGCTATAAAAGAATAAGGCTCATGTTTCTGTTTTTGATTGGTAGAACCTGATCAATACTGCGTTTCCATTTGATGGACGTTGTGCAGGTTTTCTATTGTATATGGCAAACATCAAAACATATTGTCTACTGACATTCAAAGCGAACAGGGATGTTATCTTGACATGTGCTGCCGACCTAAACATTTTATTGACCTATCTGACCCAGCTCATTCAAGCTTTCATTCTACTCTGTGGTGCCCGCCTCAAATTGAGAAGACATTTGGTAGTCCATAAAATAATCTGTGTATTTGTTTATTTAAAGCCCAGGATTTAATAATTGCATAGTTTTGTGAGTAGAACAATTTTATGTTGGGGATTTAGCTATTTATTATGTAACTTTGACCTGTTTTTTTTTTGTCTTTCTTTGTGTCAGACTACTCTTAAAGACCATCTATGACCTCTGACTTGTAAAATTAGGCTTTAGGAATTTTTCTCCAAATGTCCCAGAAAAGTAAGTGGGAAGATCTAATGGCACTGTGGTATAAAAACCTTATATATACGCTAAACTTTAGGAATCTGTGAGTTTGTGTAAAAACTGACTATTCAGAGCTGTTTTAGTGAAGGGCTTGAACTAGTTATTATGAAGTGGGTGGTCATGATTTAAAGATCTATTGGTAGGAGTGCAAGATTAAATTTGACTCGTATGATAAACCCATATGTTGGGCTCATGAGCACAAGATGAGCCCAAATTGTAGCAATGCTTTTGGGGAAATTTTTAAGAACAAGGCAGAATTCAATAGACACTAGATTATATATATTGCTAATTTTTGTGCTTCTTATTAATCTATAAAAAAAGAGACACATTTTCATTTGTGAAAATAATAATAATAATAAAAAAATCTCAAAATTTGCAACATGCTGATGGAGTGCCAGAGCAGGAACTCCCTAAAAAGATGGAGGCCAATTTCCAGGCATCAACTTCTGAAGTCAAATTTTTTTAAGTTATTTTTGAAAAGTAGATCATTTTTATAATGACTGAAGGCAACATAGTTACTTGATTATGCTTTGAAAGAGCACTGTGAGCCTGGAAAATGCTTAATATCGTTAAGACTGGCTGAATAACTGCTTTGTTCAGTGTTAAATACTACGCTGAGTTGCCATTACTTTGTTCCTGAGGGTTATTTAACAGAGGAACAGAAAGCCTGTTGTTTAAAAAAAGACATTAAATGTTAATCCTTTGTGAATCCCTTTTTTTAAAATATTGTTCTGGATCTTTTTATACTTTTCATGAAGGTTTTGATAGTAAAGTCATTTCTGCTTCAGGGACTTTCAAGTTTACCGTTTATTTGACAAAAAGCTGTTTGTGACATTGTTTTGATCTTTTTGTCTCTTAAGCACTCCCTGTTGGGATCTGAGGACTTTTTGTTTGGGGGTTCTCTGGTACAAGGCACTTAAACCAGCATCCTGCTGTTCTTGCTGTCTTCATGTCAGAAGAAAGACTTGCCAAGTTGTAACTCTTTCTGTGGACTTCACTGGACTTAACTCTTTGCAGCTTTGGGGTCTGCTTGTGCATTTTTTGTTTGTTTGTTTGTTTGTTTTTTGTATATTGGTGTAGAAAAACCTCTGACTTGGCCTATTTCATTAATGCAAACAAGTGGACACATTCATTTTGAGTCTGGCTATCTGGTAAATTGTGCAGCATTTGTACAACTGTTACAGCAGTATGGTAGGTTTAGGTCTGTTGCTGTTTTCAAAGATTTCTTCTCAGTTGCAAGAAATTCACACTCGACACAGGGTATTCCTCATGAGGACGAGGGAGAAGGAAACGTTTAGTTTATGCTGTCAATAAAAAGTTACTCGGCAAATCTACAGTGAAGTATTGCATTTCAGTCAGGCATGAGTTGTGGCTGTGCTCATGCTCTCGTTGACCCTTAGCTTTTGTGCTGTTTAAGATAATTGTGAAGCAGGTGAAAAGTTGCTACTCTAATTTTGGGGGGGTGTGTGGAGAACTAAAGATCTGCAATGATGGGCCTGTGTTGTTCGTGGGCTTGTTCAAACATTCAGGTCAGAGAAGCCCTGACCCAGAGGCTG